AGCCCACTGCCCTCCACCCTCCCCCACCATCAGCTCGGGTCCCTAACTCTGTCTGTCCAGCGTCTGTTCCAGGGACGTCCTCCCGAGGACGTTGTTTGTTGTTAACATTGCGCAAAGCAAAGGCCATGAATTTTATTCAATGATGATAATAATCTATTACATTTGGTGCAGCTCCTTTCACTCGCTAAGAAGACGTCCCAAAGAGCTTCACAGGGCAGTGCCTCATTGGAGTGACCGTTTTTTGTTTTGGGTGTGGGGGGGGGAGGCGATAATTTACACAGTGTCCTCAAACAGCCGCGAAGAGAATGACTGACTCTATTTGGGGGATTGTCGGCCAGGACATGTAGACTACGCCCGGCCTTTGGGCCAGTCACTTTGAGCCTTACAAATGTCTCGGAGCCTTTGAATATTCCTCTCCTCCTGTCTGTGGATCGACCACGATCTCTCCCATCGCCGCCAATTGAATCGCAGGGCTACGCTATCACGTGAATAGATCACGTCGTGTGCCCCTCGTAGAATCTTACAGCACAGAAGGAGGCCATTCGGCCTATCGTGCCTGTGACGGCTTCTTTGGGAGAGCTGCCCAATTAAGTCCCACTCCCCCGCTCTTACCCCCGTAAGCCCTGAAGATGTTTCCTTTAAAGTACCTGTCTAATTCCCTTCTCCTCGCTTCCCTCTCCCCCCACCCCCCCACACCACCCCAGTCAATGGTTTTCTTCGGCGAACAATATCTCGCAATGTTTGCGTGTGCGCGTGCGTGTGTTTTTTTATATATAAAAAGAGTCCCTTAAAATTAGCAAGTCAAGAAAGTTTGGCCCTGGCGTTGGGTTTCATGCCACAAGCAGATCGATCGCTGTTCGTTTCAACGCCTGAAAATCTAAAATAAAACCTTGTTCGGAGGAAAGCAGCATTCCTTTACCAACAGAGAGACAGAGAGCGAGACAGAGAGAAAGAGAGAGAGAGAGAGACACACAACGATAGCCACACAATACGACAGATTACAAAGCCATCCCTTCCGCCTTGGGGTGAGGTGCGTAAAAAATACGGAGAGCTGTGTTCCGATGCTATAAAACCATCCGAACGAGCCTTCCCGGAACGTCATGGCATCTCTGTCCTGTCTTGTCTTGTCTTTTTTTTTTTGCGCGCGCGCGTGTCATTCAGCGGTAAAGCGCTCGGGCCTGAATGAAGGTTCTTTGTGGAAGGCAGCACTGAAACTTTCTGTACAGACCGGTCAGGCAGAGAACACCCTGCGGAAACGAAAGGGACAGGGAAACTCGTCGGTTAGGTTAGCACACCGGCGCCGTACAGTTGACAATAACTATCCTCGAATTTTCTATGGCGCCTTAATATATATATATATATTAAGGAGTATATTGGGAATATATTGGGAGTCCTGTAGCTCAGTTGGTTAGAGCACTCGCTTTGCAAGTGAGAGACCTGAGTTCAATTGCAGGCAGAGGGCGAAACCTTGGGCAAGTTTCCTTACTCCACACAGAGCCTAATAATAATCCCTCCAAAAAACCAAAAAACAATGATAAATTGTTCATTTTCAATCCACGGCTGTTTGCGGGGACGCTGCTGTGCGCAATTGGCTGCCGCGTTTCGCCCACAAAATATACAGTCAATTCACTTTACAGTCTATTCTGTGAAGCGTTTTGAGACGTCGAGAAGGCGCGAGAAGGGCTATATCAAATGCAAGGATTATTAGTCTTAGTATTATGATTGTAAAGTGGATTGACTGTGTATTTTGTGGGCGAAACTCGCCGGCCAATTGCGCACGGCGGTGTCCCACAAACAGTCGTGGACGGAGCAAAAATTTTCTTTTTAGTTCTGTTTTAAAGTTGAGGCATCATCAGCCTCGGAAAGCGATCCGCCAATTGACTTAACAACCGGGTTCCCAACCGCGACGCGTGAAACGGCTCCGGCAGAAAGAATGTGGAATTTCAGCCTCGTCCAAACCCCACTCTTATTGATGAACATCTCTACCTTTGCCTCAACCCAAAGGTTTGTGAAAGATCTGCCCCTTTTGATCTACGCATCAGCCGGTCAAGCGCACCCGAGAGCTATTTTATTTCCCCGCCCGTCTCCCCCCCCCCCCACCATCCCTCCCCAGGTACTTACTCATCGATGTCCTTTTTGCTTTCTTCAATAAAAGCGATGGATTCCGATCGAAGGCGGTTGGTAACTTCATACGTACGCAGGGTGACTCCGAAAATGTCTTCGTGATAACGGTTTTCGTCCTGAAGTCGAAACAAAGTTGAGCCACTTTGCCACACATTTGTAATACTCGCGTACAAAAAGCCTTTGCGTTCGATACAGCGCCTTGTCACGTCGTTGAGACGTCTCAAAGCGCTTCACAGAATAGACTGTAAAGTGAATTGACTGTGCATTTTGTGGGCGAAACGCGGCAGCCAATTGCGCACAGCAGCGTCCCCCACAAGTAGTCGTGTGAGTGACCGAGTTTAAATGTGGCGGAGGGATTATTACACCCGGAAAACGATCCCCCAATTGACTAACTTACTCACTGAGGCGTGTGGAGTAAGAAAACGTGCCTAAGGTTTTGCCCCGAGCGGGAATCGAACCCAAGTTCTCTCGTTTGCGAGGCGAGTGCTCTAACCACTATGCTATTTGCCTCCGAGAATCAACACTTCAATGCTTTAGATCCAATTCTGTGTCCCTCGGCATTAGATCATAATTATAGTCACCTATTGATGCGTCGTTATAATAATAAGCCCTATAATTTGGTACAGCGCCTTCAAGTCAGGAGGATGTCCCAAAAGCGCTTCAAAAGGATATGTTGTAAAGTGTAGTGACTGCGTGTTTTGTGGGCGAATGCAGCATCCAATTTTGCCCACAGCAGTGGAGTGAATGACCAATTTTTTTCTTTTTATTTGGGGGGATAGTTGGCCAGGACACCGTACATAGTTTTACCGTGAGATGGAGCCACCGGGTATTTTTAGGCGAACGCTGCAGCCCAATTGACGCACAGCGATGTCCCGCAAACAGCCACGAGAGGAACGACCGATCTTATTTTGGGGCAAGATTGTCCGCCAAGCAAGACCCCACTTTCTGCTACGGAAAGTGGGTGAATCCGGAAGACTCCGAGAAGCATTTCACATTCTCAAACAGTCTTCCCAAAACCAGGTAGGGGCTCGGTGCTGCTCTCTCTGGCTTACTCGTAGTTTACTGAGGAAGGTCCCGGCGTTCTCCAGTGATATATTCTCGTGGTCTTTGACGATGTGTTGAATTGTCTTGAAAACATCACCCGCCATCGTGACGTCCCCACACACATACACGTGTCCTCTTTGCTCTTTCAGTAGGCGGTACATTTGCCCGGCGAGTTGTTCACGCAAGATGTCCTGCACGTATTTCTGAAAGCAAACAATGTAGTCATATCACCATAATAATAATAATACTTGCATTTGATACGGCGCCTGATCACGAGTAAGCCAATTGGGCACAGCAGTGTCCCACAGACAGCCATGGATTGAGTGAACAAATTATTATTATTTGTTTTGAAGGATTATTACCCCCGGAAAGCGATCCGCCAATCGACGAACAACCCAGTTTCCTACTTACTGCTGGGTAAACCGAGGCGTGTGGTGTAAGGACACTTGCCTTGGCCAGGAATCGAACCCGGGTCCTCTAACCTCCCAGGCGAGTGCTCTAACCTCTGCGCTACAGGACTCCAGTAAACGCTATATCACCAGATATGACAATAGAGCAGTTTAGTACCTTTGGTTTTTCTGGCTCACGTGAGTAAGCTGTGTGGAGCTCTTCAAAGACTCCTTTCTGCTTTGCCTGAATCGCTTCCTCTCTGTAGATGTGGTCAATTTTCGATTGCCGACAGCCAAACACCAGCGTCATGGGACTCGGTTTTATCTCTGAAATAAAATAATAATCCTTATGATAATCTTTGCATTTGACATAGACATTTGACCCCTGGAAAAGCCTCGCCCCTCCCGGGAATCACCGAGGACTTCAACTGTCTTCCTTTGAAGGTCGTTTATCGAGCGCTTGATTTACTAACTTACTCCCAAGTTAGTTAGGCGTAAGTATAGAGATATAAATAAATGTGGCCGGGATAAATCGACAGCACCTTAAGTAGTAATAGTATTATAATAATAACAATAATAATCCTTGCATTTGATATAGCGCTTTTCAAGTCTTCTAGACGTCTCAAAGCGCTTCGCAGAATTGACTGTATATTTGAAGGTAGTGGCAATGTTAAGTCAGGGTCGAGTTATCAGGAGCTTAATGTATCTGTCGCACCACTTAAAATCTCAGCCCAATCTCTGGCTCTGCACCTGCATTGCATCGCATTCTGGAGCAGAGTAGCACTGAACTGCGGGCGGGTTGTCGGGAGAAGAGTTTCAGCTCACAGAGACTCCGCTGAACTGAAGCCTTTGGCAATACCGCTGCTGCTTTGCAGCTGACCACGAGACAAGCCAAGCCAAGCGCAGGACCTCCTTTCCCATGAAAGCTTGCCATATCAATGGCAAACCATACGGTTTTAGCTGGTTAGACTCCAGCAGTCACCCCTACCGCAAACTCTGGGGTTCCCCCCACCCCCAAGCTTTGGCGCTTGCCAAACTGCGCCTAATACTTTACGGAATTAGGTAAGCAAGGGGCATCCCTCCAGGGAGAGAGAGAGAGAGAGAGAGCGTGAGAGTGTGCAATCCATTCCAACAATCTATCTCTGGGATTTCCACGTGTAGGTATGGAATTCTCAGCTTGGTTTGGAGGCTCTTAAGCAACGGTGATGGGTTTCCGCACGCGTCAGACACCCGGCTGGGCTGATCAAAAAAAAAAAAAATCCCTTAAGAAGGTCAGGAATCCTGCCCTCGCTTGTGGCAGCGTCAGTTCTGTTTCGATGAGGTACCTTTTTGCTCTATTTCATGGAGTCGCTGCTGCCAGAAGCTTCGGAACGGGGCGATTCCAGTCCCTGGTCCGATCAGGATACAGGGAACTGTGGGGTCTGTCGGCATCCTGAAACTTGGCGCCCTGCAGCCCAGACACAGGGGTTAGTTTAGGAACGCCTCTCGCTCTGCCTGAGTTCATTCAAAACTCCGCTGCCCACCCACTCTAAACCCCACCCCCCTCCCCCATCTCACCAGTCCTCGCCAGGCTCCACTGGCTTCATCCCTATCACACAAGGATCGACTTCAACATCCTCACACTCGTCTGCAAATCACTTCACGCACTCCCCCCGACCTTACTCCACCCCCCCCCCCCCACCCCACTCCACCACCCATCTCCTCGGCTCAGTTGGCTCCATCACTCCTGCTTGACCCTCATCCCCTCCGCTCAACCTTCGGTAGTCGCACTTTTAGCCACTGCACCGCAAAGCTTTGGGACTCATTCCCCCAATTCCCTCCACCTTGCCTCTGAATTCAGAAGACCTTCCTCTTTGACCGTGCTTACTGACACCTCCTCTTCCCCCCCGCCTCCCCCCCTACCCCAGTTCAGCATCAGGCTCTGCCACTGTTCAGGACTCCGAGACATGGGGGCTACATAAGCGCAAGTCATCTCAGAGCAGAGCTATATAAGTGCAAGTTATAACAGTGGCGGAGCTTGACGTAGAGCCGGGGTGAGAGAGGAGGTGACTGTAGGCACGGCCGAAGAAGAAGGTCTTCAGGTGCGATCTGAAGACCAACAAGGGGGAGGTGGGGGCGAGGCGGGGGGACTGAGGCAGTTTATATAGAAGCCAGTTGCGATGTTGAGTCATTGTGCGATTACGCTCTGCTGAACAGGAATTCATTTAGCATTAAATTTACAGCCGTTTACACAGTATAAATCCGGTTACCCTCTCACAAAGCACGGAAGAATCTCATCTGGGTCAATTCTGTTAAGCCAGGATGAGCAGACTCCATGATGCAAAGGTCCTTCCCCGTCTGTGAAGTCAAAAGTTTAATGGTAATAATATTAACTGGTCTCACGGTACGTGACAACCTATTTAGACGCCTTAGATAAGCAGAATACCCTTAGAGCGCAGCGATGGATTTCCGGACGTGTCAGACACCCCTCGACTGACCCCCCCCGCCCCCCAAAATACAGCGCCTTATCATGTCATTGAGACATCTCAAAATGCCTTCATGGGATAGACTGTGAAGTGGAGTGGCTGTGTATTTTTCCGGGTAACGGGAGCTTCTGAGTGGGAAGAATCCCTGCTCCTCTCAGTGAGCGCCCTGCGACGTTGCCCTGTACGAGGGGTGAGATATAAATGCACGTTGTTGTTGTTGTTGTTGTTCGAGTGCCCCTGGCTCGGCGTCAGGCTCCGCCACTGTTGAGTGCTAAGAAACACCGCCTGGTGTGAAGGCCCCAATACCAATGCGAGCTGTTGTTGGTTGTTGTTATTATGCTCCAGCTTTACCTCTGGTTCGATAGGAGACCACGGCCACAGTCAGGTGGATCTCGCCCGGGTGCAGGTCAGGAGAGGAGCTGATGGAGTAGTAGCGAGGCTGGAGGAGCGGGAGCTGAGTCAGGAGCAGCGTGGCCGGGACCTGGACCGAGGAGAACTCCTCCAGAACCTCCACCACCGTCGGGTTCTTGCTCCACTTCCACTCCTCGTACTCCTGCAGACCCTGGCAAATGCAAGACACAGCGCTGAGTGACCCCCGCCCCGCTACAGCTCAGGGATTACCCCTCGTGCATTCCCTCCCACCGTCAGCCGCTATGCCCCAAAACCCGAACGTTCTTCCTCTACGATTCCGCATTGCGCCCCCACCCACCCCCCATCTTAACTCGTCTCCCTCGCCTCCTTCAAGGTATGTCTCAAGACCCTTCCTCTTCGACCGAGCCTTCGGCCACCCTCCTACCCTCCCCGCCCTCCACCCTCAGCTCGGGTCCAAATCCCTGACTGTCCAGTGCCTTGGGACGTCCTCCCAACTTGAAAGGCGCTTAATTTACACACGTATAATTTGGTTTCGCTGTATCTTCAGGTCTCATTCGAAGACCTTGCTCTCCCTGCATGACTGTATACTTTGTGGGCAAAATGTGGACATCCAATTGGGCTCAGCAGTGTCCCACAAACCGTCGTGAATTGAATGGCCAATGTATTTATTTATTTTAATCGGGCTCCTACTTATTGCCAGGTAAACTTGCCCAACGTTTGGCCCTGCCCGGGAATCGAACCCAGGTTCTCTCGCTCACCTCACTGAGGACCTCAAGTCTCTTCCTTTGAAAGTCGTTCGTCGCCAGGAGAGTTAACTGCTGCAGTAAGAGGGGATTTGGTGGCGTTGTGATATCCAGGTAACACTTAAAGGCTTGAAAAATGGTGCATGGGGGGATGCGTTTTTCATCGTTCCAGTTACTAATAACACCTGCAGGAAGAGGAGAGACTGATGTAACCATCATCGTAGTAATAATAATAATCATCATCATCATCCTAGCAGTTAATATAGCACCTTATCGTGTCGTCGAGACGTCTCAAAGCGTTTCACAGAATATACTGTGATGTGAAATTGACTGTGTATTTTGTGGGCCGAGTGCGGTAGGCAATTGCGCACAGCAGCGTCCCATAGACAGTCGTGGATTGAGTGACCAAATTACTATTATTGTTATTATTTGAGGGATTATTAACCCACGGAAAGCAATCTTCCCAACCGACTAACAACCGGGTTCCTACTGACTGCTCGGTAAACAGTGGCGTGTGGAGTGCGGAAACTTGCCTCAGGTTTTGCCACGCCCCGGGAATCGAACCCGGGTCCTCGCGGCTTGCGAGGTGAGCTCGCTAACCACTACGCTACTGGACTCCAATTATTCTTATTATGTAAAATGTTTCCTTGAGGCTTTCTGTTTAACCGGGCAGCGAGTTCGTAACAATGATGATAATAATATTCCATGTTATCACAGCCGCACACGTATTTGACGGCATTACCTAAAGCAGTGTTTCTCTCCTCCAGAAGCTCCACCTTAATAATCTGGTTAAAAGGTGGTGCGTCGTCCAATCGGTCGATCAAGGCATTGACTAGATCTTCGTGGTTGCCAGGAAAGATGCCCAGATGGTCTCCAGGCTGATACTTCAGCTCGGCGAGATGGTGTGTATGTATGCGGAGCAAAATTGTCGAACGGCTTAAAGAGAAAAATCATATTTAGTTAATATTAATGCACGATACCTGTATGCATCTGCTCCCCCCCGCTCCCTCCATAACCCATAAATGTTATGTTTGAGGAAGGGAAACACAGAAATATTGCTTATGCGGCCAGTGGGCGTTTATTAAATAGGGCATCCAGCCCTCAGCAGCCAAAAGGTTGGATTCCCCCTTGGCCGAGACTACGAGTCAAAGTCCCCGAATGGGGCTTGAACCCCTAACTTCTAAAGTCATGGGCAAGAGTTCCAGCAACCAAGCCAGGTTGACACCTAAAGGTTCAGAGATGACATGGAAGAGTAAATCATAATAACAGTAATAATAATAATACGTGCATTTGATTTAACGCCTCATCACGTCATTGAGACGTCTCAAAGAGCTTCACGGAACATACTGCAAATATACTGCAAACTTTTATAATTTATAATTTGACCACTTTTAAATTTTAATTTTACGTTCTCAGAAGGCTAAACACTTGGCGACAGCGAGTTACAACTCCCTAAGCTGATGCGAAGCTAGTGATAGAATAGCTGACAGTCGGAAGGCGGAGAAAGATGAAGGGTTACCTGGATTTGGGATTTTGCAAGTTATGGCGGGACAGCAGTTTGGCAGCGAACACGTTCTTTTTGTGGATACTGTAGAGCGCTGGGCCCCGGAATGACAAACACAAAGCATTAAACGGGTCTCAGGTTACACGCTTAACACACAGAAAACACAAGGGTTAAGAGGATAGCGAGAGGAGAGTAGAAATCTAGTCCGTTGAGCCCGTTTCCTTAGGTCGCAGTTTATCTGCAGCTGAATCCCATTGTGATATCGCTGCTCACCAAATACAGTGCAGCCCCTGTTATGGTGAGATGTTCAGGCTCCGTAACCCCTCACCGCACCCCCCCCCACCCACCCACCACCCTCTACAGTGAGACGTGACAGTGGGTTTGAGTATCGCGGAGGATGCCCTCACCACAGAGCGGCTTCCTGCTCAAAGAAGACAAAAATGGCTGCCTTCTGGGTCATCGCCAACGGTGAAGAGCACTGCTACATAACATTACAGTGCGTCCACGCCACTCACCACCCCCCCCCCTTTTTGGGACGGTGGGGAGGGGTGGGGTGGGGTGGGGGGAGGGGTGGAGTGGGAGGTGGGAGGGCGGGCGAAGCTTACCTTCCGTGAGATCCGGTGCCTCTGCCTCGTAGGTCAGACGGAATTTGTCTCGTTTCCAGCTGCGATCGTTGCTTATGAGGGAGTCGTTGGCTTTCTCAATGTTGACGTCGTCTCCCACGCAGAACACGTCGCACGCTGCCTAACACATCATATCAACCGGATACAGTGCATAAAACGCGCAATACACTCACGCTGCTTCGAAGAGCCGAGCGAGTGGCTGCGCACCTGTGATCTGAGGGTAAGGGGCAAGGGCCGTCTGGCTCGGCTACCGGATGCCGATGGCAGCCAAACGTATACGCACGGCGCCTCTCACTCGGGAAACGGCCAACGACAACACCTTGCATTTGTAATAATGATCCTTGCGTTTGATACGGCGCCCGATCTCGTCGGCGAGACGTCTCAAGGCGCAACGCAGAATGCATCGTAAGGTGAATTGGCTGTGTATTTAGCGGGCGAAACGCGGCAGCCAATTGCGCACCACGACATCCCGCAGACAGTCGTGGATTGAGTGGGGGGGGACTCGGTTTTATGTTTGAGGGATTATTACCTTGAAGACTTTCTTGGCCCAGGTTCTGAATGACTCCTCCTGTCCACAGAGCTCGTCCCCCTCTCCCATCTTCTGCATCCGCTCCCCTCCCAGCTCGTCCAGCAACGTGTCGATGGCCCGAGCGAAGGCGCAGAAATGGGGGTAGGCTCGCGAGCCCAGCCCGAAGACCGAAAATCTTCAACACAAAACATCCCCGCAAAACAAAGTCTCAATCCGCCTTTGTTCTATGTTAACCATCAACCTTAACAGCGATCCTTGCATTTGATACAGCGCCTTATCACGTCGTCGAGACGTCTCAAAGCCTTCGCAGGGTATATCGTAAAGTGGAGTGACTGCGTATTTCGTGGGCGAAACGATTCCTGGGCAAAGATGAGGGCGCTATTCTTTTTTTTCGCTCCCCACCTTGCCCCCGGCTTCACCATCCGCAGTTAGGAAGCACAGGAGCATTGCAGGTTCCTACTTACTGCTCGGCAAACAGAGGAGCATGGAGTAAGGAAACTTGTCGAAGGTTTCGCCCCGAAAACCTTAGAGCACTCTAACCAATACACGACGGGACTCCTTTAAAAGGGGAATGCTGCCCGGTGAATTCCGTACAGACAGCAAACCTAAGTGTGACCCCCACCCCCCCACCCACCCACACATACACACACCGCCCCCCCCCCCCCCCCCCACACCCCCACACCCACAGAGGCTTCTGCGCATTTTAGGGCGCATTTTCTCTTACCTCATGTTGGCTAAGGGCCCAGTACTTTCCAAGTTGTCTTTGCTTCCAAGCTCATCGCTGGAAGATTTGCCAGCATCTGAGTACGAGGATACACTATTAAATCGGATTTTGTAGCTCCTAGAGACAGCGAGTGGGTGGGAGGTTGGGGGAGAAGAGAGAGAGAGAGAGAGAGAGAGTGAGAGGAGAAACACAAGGTAGTTTTATTCAAAAAAACAAAAGTCTAAATTTTTTCTGTGTGTATTAATAGATAACGACTTATCTTCGGTTTAGCTCGCAACTGGTTTTAATAATAATAATAACAATCCTTTGATACAGGGCCTTATCACGTCGTTGAGACGTCTCAAAGCGCTTCAGAATATACTGTAAGGTGTCTTTTTTTGTGTGAGGGGAACCCGGCATTCGAAAATACTGAATTAAGGTAAGTAATTGGTTTTAAAACACTCGTAATGGTTAAAAAAAAGGCAATAATTCCCGAGACGGCCAGACTCCCTTCAGAGCTTTCTCTCACTTTCTTTCTTCGGAGTTGGAGTTGCGGTTTCTCATTTCCATCAGGATCGACCCGAATTTCTAAACGAACGAGACAAGAATTCGCACGGTTTAGAACATCTTTCCGTATAAAAACTAGAAATGAAATTAAAAACGATCCGGATAAGAACTCGTCAAACCTAACTTACGATGATGAATTCATCCCTTCGTTGAATTTGATGTTGCGCCTCATCGCGTCTCAAAAGCCCTTCGCTGAGGTTTCGGGTGACTGTGTGTATTTTGTGGGTGGATCCCGACAGACAATTTGCGCAACGGCAAATATCCCACAAGCACTCGCAAAGCGAACGACTAATTTTATCTGGGGGAACGTCTTTAACGTCCACCCGAACAGGCGCGGGTGGGCCCACGGGTTAATGTCTCACAAGGACGGCACCTCTGCTCACCCAGCACGGCACTAAACTATCAGCCTGGACTTGTGAGCTCAAAGTCCCCGCCGTGTGGCTTGAACCCACAATCCTTCAGAGGGTCAGAGTGCCGTCGTCGGCTGAGCCTGAACTCTTCCCACCCGGCTACCACTGATGGGCACAACCACAACAAGGCTGTGGACTCCCCCACGCCCAGCCCAGCCCAGCCCAGCACAGCACAGCACAGCACAGCCCCGCCCGAGACAGCTTGTTGGGAATATACCTCTCCATTCTCTGGTGGATCCCCGTTCCCAAAGGTGCTCGTGACTACCAACACCAGAGCTTCGTGTTCCAAGTGCACAATGTCGTAGTCATCCATGCCTATCACCTGCAGGGAACACAATTCACTCGATCAAGGACCACCACCACCACCACCACCACGACAACGAGGACAACAGCAACAATGACCGCAATGACAGCGAGAACACAGACAACAACAACATCTTGCACTTACATAGGGCTCCTCCACGAGGGCTAGCGTCCCGGAGAGCTTGACAGTGGCAGAGTCTGACCCCGAGCCAGGGGCGAGAGGGAGGGCTGGGAGGTGACCGTAAGCGCGATCAAAAAGGAGGGTCTTTAGGCGGGATTTGACAGCGGGGAGGGAGCGGGGGGGGGGGGGGGGGCAAGGCGGAGGGATCGAACGGGAGAGAGTTCCAAAGTTTCGAGGCAACAGCAACAATGATGATAACAAGAACAACTTGCATTCGTATCGCCCCCACCCTTTAGTGCGGCCGGTGGAGATTTTAGTGCATCATCGTACATAAGATGGGACAGTACGTATGCTTGTGACAAAGCAGTCAACGAACGGAGCAACTTCAAATCAAACTCGCCTCTCACCTTCGCATCGAAAGCGTGCTTGAATATCTCGCACAGCGTCTTGGCGTAGGCGTGGGACTTTCCCGTTTCCGTGGCGTACAGAATGGTGGCTTTCACTCTCTTCGCCATCGCTTGTCCCATCAACTTCGCGGAGAACTTGACAGCCCTTGAACGTGAGAGCGACAGTATCAGGCGGCGGTTGCTTATCGAAATCGCCGTGGGAGTGGAACAAGAGGCCGTGGGTTCAGGGTTGTAGGGGGAAATAAAGCGACTCAAAAAATGTGGTCAATATCTGGAAGTATTGCTGATAGTTATTCTCTTTCTTGCAGGCACGTTCCTTGTGACCTCTCCACTTTTAATGCTTATGTTTAATACCTGGATGGATATTTTGAATAGGTATTTGGGGAGGACAAATTTGCAAGGCTATGGGGAGAGAGTAGGTGAGCGGGATTAATTTGGATGGCTCTTTCAAGAGCTGGCATGAGCCGAATGGCCTCCTTCTGAGCTGTATCATTCTATGATCTGGCTTGCAAATTGTAGGATTAGTGTAGCGATGGTTTAATAGGATCCTCACAAGGCTGTTACCAAGCTCTTTTGCCTTGTGTTTAATTAAATTAAATTAATTAACCAACTTACTTTGCCAACTTTTTGAATCCAATGGTTCTCTTCTTGGTGGGCGTCCCATTGACACCTTTCCACACGTAAGTGTTCCACGGATCTGCCTGCGGGAAAAGACGGCGAATCGTAAATTTCACTTGCATTGGTGCATGGAAACGGGCTGCTGCATTCGCCTACAAAATACACAGTCACTACACTTTACAGTAAATGTCCTGGCCGACGTGAAAGGCGCTGCTTTAAATGCGAGGTCCCTTATTATTTATTGTTAATATTACCTGATATTCGAACGATGGGCTGAGATGATAGTTCAACATTTCCTGATGGAAAACGGGGGTGATGCTCCCTGACATGGGAGGTACAATCCACACCCAGTCGGCCGGGCACCCTCCGCGTAGTCTGTGTTCATTCTCCAAGTGCTTCATGAAGGACTCGGTCACCGAATGATGATCCACAATTGTCACCTTGTCGGACTGAGCGCAGAAAAGTTTTTTTGTTTCATAACCGAGCCCTTCAGACATTAAATAGGAACATGTGTACATAGGAACAGGAGGAGGCCATTCAGCCCCTCGAGCCGGTTCCGCCATTCTATTAGATCATGGCTGATCTGTACCTCAACTCCGAATACCTGCCTTTGCCCCATATCCTTTGATACTGTTATCTAACAAATATCTATCCACCTCAGTCTTGAAAATTTGAATGGACCCAACATCTACAGCCTTTGCAGGGACAAGTGTTTCAGACTTCCGCTTCTAAATGAATACCCAGAGGGACTCTTAGGTCTCGAGGGAAGACAACTCAGAGGGAAACCTCGTGGAGGTGTGTAAAATCTTAAACGGGTTTGAGAAAGTAAACCCAGAACGACACTTTAGGATGCAACAAGACAGCAGAACAAGAGGTCACTGGTTTAGAGCTGTAAAGAGCAATTTCAGGACAGACACCAGGAAGTATTTTCTTTACGCAAAGGCGAATCAACAACTGGAATAAGGTTTAAAGGAAGAGTGGTGGAGCCAGGACGCTGGGACTTATATAAAAAGCCGTGTACTGCAGGGGTGACTTTTATCAGCCAAAGGGCCTTCTTCATCCAAACGGATCTTGCTGTTCTGGTGAATAGCAGTTGATCATTGTCATTCACCAGATCATGCGTGTAAGGGGTTGCCCTGTGTGTGTATTTCCTTGTAGGTGCATAGCAATTGATCTGAATGCACACTTAGTGCCGAGTTACCTGAAAACTGTACAAGACCGCAATGTTTATTTCCACCAACGCTTGATCTTTCCAAAGGGAAGACGTTTTTCTCGTGTCCAATCCCATTAGCCTCGCCACGTCCTGCAAGAAATCGCAGGTGAACTTTTCGCCTTAAACCAGATGAGCTACTGCACAGCGCCCAACAACACGAGACAGAGAGGAACAGAAGAGTACGGAGGGAATGCCAGAGACTCGTGGGGAGTGTTAACATCGGCACGGACTAGACGCCTGTTTCTGAGTTGTGCGTTCTATGTCAATCTATGTAGCGACGACAACTTGCACTTACTGTAGCACCCTTCCTAGAGGGTAAGCGGTCTCAGAGTGCAATGCACAGACAGAATTGGATGCCAAGCAAGGGAGAGAGTAAAGGGAACGTGATTACGTGGGCGATCGAAGAGGGCGACAGAGAAGGAACGAGATGGTAGGGTGGAGGGAAGCAGTTACGGTGATTAACAACAACGACGACGACGACTTGTGGGTAGCATCTCAGAACGCTCAACGAGGGTGTGGTTTTGACCACCGAGCTGGAAAGAGAGGGGAGGTGACCGAATGCACCGTCGAAGAGGAAAGTCTGCGGGCGTGGTTTGAAGATGGTCGTGCATTTGGGCAGGTACCTTAGTTTGCCATCGAGTGTGCTGTCGGGCCAGCTCCTACCCTGCCGTACTTACGTCGCTGCATTACGACGTATAAAAACTCACTGAGGATTAAAAACTAACCTCGAGTACCCGGTAACGGGAAGTGTCGCAGAAATCTCGCACTCCGATTTCGGTGCCCATGTACCAGCCACTGAAGGGGCAAGCGGTGAACTCCAGGCCTCCGATCTCCAGGAGCATGTTCGAAACGGCCGGGAGGCTGTACCACTTCAGGTTCAGGTCCTTAAACCACTCGAATCTGACGCAACAACCACAACAACAACAAATCAGGAGGACGTCCCAAGGCGCTGGACAGTCAGGGATCAGCGCCCGAGCTGGTGGTTGCGATCAGGAGGGTTTGAGGGCCGGGAGGGCAGGGGTAGGAGGGTCAAAGTGGAGGGTCTTGAGATGGGTCTTGAAGGAAGCAAGAGACAAAAGTTGGAGTGCTATATCCAGGGCACTCCCCCCCCCCCCCACCACCACCACCACCACCATCCACCTCCAATCGTTTTTAAGCACCTCCTTGCCCCCCCCCCACCCCCACCCCGCCCGATTGCGGGTTACCAGACGCCACACTGCACCAGTCAGGCCACAGCCGCTAAAGGTGAAATGACCGGCTTTCCGGGTCGTTAGGTCGACATCGACATCACCTCCGGCTCGCTGCGAAGGAAGTGATGTCAGCAGCCCTTCTCGCGCACTGCACGCGGGTGATCAACGTGCAGGAAGTGACTTCAGCGGTGACCCGACCACCCGGAAGTAAGTCGTTGTTTTCCCACGCTTTAACACGGGGTTGATATTGGTATATATATATATATTTCCCGATCGAGAAACTTGTCGAAACCTCCATGTCCCTAAATTTATTTTCATGCAGAGGTTTGGGATGTTACATAAACGCACATCCAGTACTTACAGAGGAAAAGGTGAACTCGGCATTTTAACCTGAGGCGAAATTCCAGTTTCAATTTCATCCCAAATTGAAAGCCAAATGACTTAGCCAGGGAGCGGGCATTCAATTAATCTGCCTTGTATCGGGAGATGTCAAACGTCAAGAAACACAATCAAATGAAGTGACAGAAACATTGGATTGCGGTTAACATCCCCCCCCCCACCCAAACAAAAAGCACGCTCTTTAAGTGAACGACCTTCCAAAAGCCCGCATAAAACTGGAAAAAAAAATAACATTGAAACGACCGTCCGATCGAGCTCACTGCGTCCACGTACTTGGGATGCCTGATGGGAACTTCCAGGATCAGTTCTGACGGGATCTCAAAGAGCTCGGGGTCCTTTCCGTTGGCTTGAAGCAACAGAGGCAGCACATCGAAGCGGCCTTTCAAACCTTTCCAACCTTGCTGCAAACAGATCTACAACAAACAACTTGTTATTAATAGTTATAGCTTGCTGTAAACTTGATCTAATAATGTTTATAAGGTGCCCTTCACTCGGGGTAACGTCTCGGAGCGCTTGACAATGGTTGAGTTGGATGCCGAGCCGGGGAGGGAGGGGAGGTGACCGTAGGCGCGGTCGAAGAGGGAAGTCTTCAGGTGCGATCTGAAGACGGGCGAAGCGGGTGGGACTGAGGCAGGGAGTTCCAGAAGTTCAGGGCGTTGTGGCTGAAAGCACGGCACCGACGGTGGAGCGGAGGGAACGAGGGGCACGGGGGAGGCAGGATCCGGCTAAGCAAAAGGAGCGGGTAGAGGAGAGGAGTGTGAGCAGATTGGAGACTGATGGGGAGGTGCTGGGGGAGCCTGACGCGATTTGAAGGGGAGAGTGAGGATCGTGAAAAGGAGCTCAGGCGAGGACTGAGCTGACGGGGCTGGAGTTCTGCACAGGTGAGGTTTTGGGAGGTGGGAGTTTTGAATCAATTGGATTCAACGAAACAAACGAACAACCAAACACAAGTAGGGCATCACAAAGCCGTGTGGAGAAAAGCAGCTTCAAAAACTATCGTGTGATTATACACGAACCTCGGTCAGCTCCACAGACGCCGGGTCTCCGATGATGGAGCCGTTGTTTGTTTTATACCCAGCGTATCGGATCAGCTGGTTATTCCAGATCCTGAAATCGTTCTTTACGTCCGTTCGCTGCGGGAATATTGTGATAGCAGACCTGCAGGAAAGTCATTGATCTTGTGATGTTAATGATAATAATAATAATAATAATAATCAAAATAATCCTTGTATTTGATATAACCCCTTAACACGTCGTTGAGACGTCTCAAAGCGCTTCACAGAATATACTGTAAAGTGGATTGACTTTACTGGATAGTGGATTATGGACGAAATGATACAAAGACTCACGTCTGTAGATATGTAGATATGGGCGTTATATAAACATAAGCCAGGTTGACCCCACAATACTTTCATACAGCGGCTTTCACGTCAGGAGGGTGGCTCAAAGCGCTAACACCTGCCTTAAATTATCAGTTTAAAGCACAGAATTTGGCAAATTCCTAAACGTAGTTTTGGTTTTCAAGTCGGGTTTCCGTCGGTTTCTTTCAAGGGACCAAAGAAAAAACAGCTTCACAGTCAAGACTGCCACTGTTATCGTTGTTGGGGTTGCACCTGATAGCAGAAGTGTAGTAGCAATTTCTTTTCCAAACACAAGTTTCATTTCACCGCACCCACCTGAGATTGCCTTTGTTAGTTGCATATTTGATGTGATTACAGATGTAGTTAAACATCCCGTGAGCTGTGCTACAGTCCCGAGCATCGAAGACCTGTGAAACATTACAGAAACCAAACTCTCAGGGATTACAGAGAACACGGAAGCAGGTCACCCGAGCACAAGATCCTTCAGAGAAACGTAACCTACAGGTGTCCACAAAATCCTCTTGCCCCTTGCCCACAGCTTCAGGGAACGTCTAGATTCATTGGGAATTACTTGCCTGTAGTTTTGACCACTGGATCCTCCCCACACAGCGGGCAGCATTTCTCCAGGCATGTTTAGCCCCGTATATCAGCTCCGTGTCTTTAAGCTGGTAATTGCCGGTGACCTCGATCTCTTTGGTCACCTCCTCCATCCTCTCAATGTGGGCCTTGGATCCATACCTAGAGTAAGCCCATCCATACCAAAGCAAAAGATCAGCCGAGTTGTTCAGTGCTGCCAATTTCCCTTCCCTCTTTCTCCACTGGAAGCGCCGACATCACCCGGCTATTTATTGTTCCACTGTGACCTTTCTCCTTCCTACCTCTGTGACCTTGCTAATTCCATACCGACCCGTCCGCTCAGCGGGCTCCAGCCTGCTCCGTATCCCCCGCCCAGCCCAGCCCAGCCCACGCCATCCGGCCCCACCATCAGCAGTCGAGCCTTCAACCTGTCCGTCCCCACCCTTTGGAAATTCATCCCACAGCCTCTTCGCCTCGCGCCCCCACCCCCCACTTAACGACTGGAACAGGGTTACCGGGAAGGAAGGGTGGTTGAGGCCAGGACTCGCTTAAGTAACGGCTCGATGCTGTAATGAGAGGGAGGGGGGGTGGGTGGGGGATTACTGTAAGGCTGGAGTGTTCTGGAGGGGTGAGATCAGATGGGCCCCAAGGGAACCTCTCTTGTGATCGTGCAAAGGTGGTTTTAGTGCTCCGCCACTGTCAAGCGCTCTGGGACGCTACCCTGCCTGAGGGCCTCTATATTAATGCACGACGGTGCTGTTTAACCCTCGCCTTTTGAAGGACGTGTAGTACTGGTTGATGAAGTCGGTCGCGAGTGGGAGCAGCTCTTCCTTCGAGCGGGCTTCATCCGCCTTGCGCACGGTTTGCGACGGCATCATGATGGAGCCCATGCAGATCTGCTCGGTACAGACAGCTGGCTGCAAATCACACAGAGAGAGAGAGAGAGAGAGAGAGATTAAAAAAAAATTAACTTTTTTCGTGTCTTTTCTTTCTCTCCCAGCATCTGTTTTCTGTCTTGCCAATTTTTTCTCTCCCTTCCCTTCCTCTCTCTCAGGACATTCTTATCCCCTTCCCTCCCACAGCGGGAGAGTTCCATGGAACCATCGAACCGCGTGAGATTAAGCACAGGAGGCAGTTCAGCCCATTGTGTTTGTGTTGGCGCTGCTGAAATAACAGCGCTGTTCATCGACAGCTCTTGGAAGGGCAGATCAGTCACTGGGGTCACAGGGACTCTTCCCACTCAGCTCGTGTTAACCTTGCGAGCCAAAGCCCTAAACGGATAGGGTGGGTCCTAGTTGGACAAGCAGCGGGAAAGCTTGCCAGACAGCGCTATCAATGACAAGCAGCTGCGCGGCTTTAGCTGGTTAGACTCCAGCAGTTACCCCAACGCGCGCTCAGGAATCCCCAAGCCTTGCCTCTTTGCCAACCCGTGCCTAATACTTCCCGGAATTAAGTGAGCAGGACGCATATCTCCAGAGAGAGAGAGAGAGGGTGTGCATTCCCTTCCGATAAATATTTCTGAAATTCCCACGTGTAGGTGGGATGTCTGAAATTCTCAGTTTGCCTTGGAGACTCTTCGGCAACGGTGATGGGTTTCCGCACAGGTCGGACACCCGTGGCTGATGCTCTGTCCACTGAAAACCGATTGTTCGATCTGAACCTTTACCTGTCCTGATTCCTGGTGCAACGTATCGTGCAGGACCGTCCCCATTTCCCAGTTCTTTATCTTGGTAAAACGAGGGCATTTGGATGGGCTTCCGTTAAGTGACGTCTTGCCAGGTGACATTGCCCCAGGCGAGACGGCCTGAAATAAGTTGAAACCCATTTTTAATAATAATAACAATCCTCGCATTTGATACAGCGCCTTATCAAGTCATCGAGACGTCTTCTCAAAGCGCTTCACGGAATATACTGTAAAGTGGAGTGACTGTATTTTGTGGGCGAAACGCGGCAGCCGATTGATTGCGCACAGCAATGTCCCACAACGCTCACCTGGGGTAATAATCCCTTAAAAAAATAATAATGTGGTCACTCAATCCACCACTGGTCAACTCACTTTACAATAGAGCCTTTCACGTCGAGAGGATAGTGCAAAGCGCTTCGCAGGATACAGCGTGAAGCCAAGTGTCTGCGTACTGGTGGGCGAACCCAGGCAGGAACACTTGCGCGCAGCGACGTCCCCACAAACGAATGAAATGTGAAGGGAGTTGTTAAAGGTGATTTGTACCTGTTCTGAACAAGGGTTTGGAAGGGCCTTTGGCACATTCTCGTCTCTCCATGCATCGTGAGACACTCTGTCGTGGTTAGATTGGAGGGGAAGGCAATCATTGTCCAGTTCATTCCTGTGGACGAAGAGTACTTTTACACGTCGTTTAGCAAGTTCACGTTAACAAGTTAGTTGCAATGAGTTGTTGGCTAAGGTCGCGCCTTCAGCCACTAACTTACCCCCCGAAACTTGCTCTCGATGGCAAGCAATGTGGCTTAGCTGGTCAGACTCCAGCAACAACAAATTACATTTGTCCAGCGCCTTTCACGTTGGGAGGACATCCCTAGGTGCTGAAACCCCAATGCACACTCTGGGGTCCCCAAGCAGGGCACAGGAAGTGAGGTCTGTGCGACCTGACGACTTGGAAGTCAAGCGGGAAACTGGGCGGCACGTGGGAACTGCGTTATAAGAGAAACCAGCGTTGTAAGGGGATAATTATAACAGGGTTCTGATGTGGAAGACTTGCTGAAAGCACGAATCTCCCAGAGGCTGGCTGACCCTCCGTGCGGTATATTACAGCTGACCTTTCCTCCCTACCATCCCTCCCAATCCCCCAGCCCCCAATGTGTTGCCAATTTGCCTCCAAAACGTGTGGAAGACAAGCCATGGAACTCTAGCAGGCACCCACCTGTCCACCTGAACCTCAACGTCGCGGGTCTCCGGCTTGACGTCAGTCACCCCATCCTGCCCACCATCACCATCACCATCACCACCACCACCACCACCGCCGTACTTCAGCAGGTTCATGACAGGCTCGATCTCTTGGAGGATGTCGTTGGTGGCCTTGGCTGCCCCGTTGAGCACAGAGTTGAGTGAATCTCCCTGGCTTCCGCTCGAAGAGCCAGCATTGGCCGGGGGTAACTCCGTCCTATCGGCCTGCACTGAGGGACTGGCATGTGTCAAGATCTCGGTGGAGGAGGGATTCGGTTTGGCTGAGGGGGCCAGAGGTTTGGTCACGCGAATTGTCCTGGGTGTCCCATCGCTGGCGAAGGTGGTCTCCAGATGAGTGGTGAAGCCTTCAGGGCCTCTGAGTATCAACACCACGAAGGTCTCCAGGGATATATCCCTGAGGATCTCCAGGGCCTTCTCGTACGTCACGTCCACCAGAGGTCTGGCGTTGGCGGCCAGGACAATGTCCCCGACTTGCACCAAACCGCTCTCCTCTGCCGGCCCACCGCGAATGAGGTCCGAGATGATGACTGGGGGCTTGCACACGCGCTGTTTCACCAGAAACCCCAGGCCGCCCACTCTGCGCTTGAGCAGCCGAACCGATATGACGTTGGGGTGCAATTGCTTGACCTGGAACTCGTTCGTTTCCATGGCTCCGTTTTACGTCACCGGGGCGTTCGGATGTGCTTTCGGCCTCTCTACTGCTTCTACGAGCGGTCGGAGATTTTGTCCAACATAACGAGCGCGGGAAACCCACAGCGCGCTCGGAAGTCGGTCTCACTTACTGGGAAGGAGAAATCCAACACGGCGTTAGTCAAACCACCTCAAAGCAATAATAATAATAATAATTCATAATATTAATATAAACACCGCGCCTTTCATTCGGGAAGACGAATCAAAGTGCTTCGCAGGACGCCCTGCCAATCTCTCCGATCTGCTCACACCGGACTCCACTACTCACTACCTTCGCTCAGGCGGCTCACGCCATCCCCAAGCTCCCTCGTCACCTCCGCTTTCAGCCATTACGCCCCGGATCTCTGCAACTCCCTGACTCAATCCTTCCATCTTGCCCCCTCTCTGCCCATCTTCACGTCACACCCAAAGACTTTCCTCTTCGACCGTACCTACGGGCACCTCGCCTCTCTTTCTAGTTCAGCGTCAACCCATGCCACTGTTAAGTGCTCCGAAACGCTGCCAGCGTGAAGGGCAATATATAAATGCAAGTTGTTGTAGTGACTGTGCAAATATGTAGGCGAAAGTTTTATTTCAGCGCAATTAATATATTATTATAATATATATTTATGATCTCTGAAACTCCCTGCCTTCAATCCCTCCATTTTGCCCCCTCTTTGCCCATCTTCAAGTCACATCTGAAGACTTTCCTCTTCGACCGTATATAAACGATAAGAATAATCCTTGCGTTTGATATAGCGCTTTTCACGTCTTCTGGACGTCTCAAAGCGCTTCACAGGATATACCGTTAAGTGAATTGACTGTATATTTGTGGGTGAAGAGCGGCAGCCAATTGCGCACAGCAGCGTCCCACAGACAGTTGTGGATTGAGTGACCAAATTACAATTTTTTTTTACGGATTAATTTCCCCGATCAACTAAAAAGCAGGTTCCTACTTACCGCTAAGTAAACAGAGACGTGTGGAGTAAGGAAAATTGCCCAACATTTCACCCTGCTGGGAATCGAGCCCAGGTCTCTCGCTTGCGAGGTGAGTGCTCTCACCACTGAGCTACAGGACTCCACATATTTAATATGTTAAATATACTCACATACATTTTGCCCACAAAATATACAGTCAATTCACTGTACAATATGTTCTGTGAAGCGCTTTGAGGCGTCTCAATGAAGTGATAGGGCGCTGTATCCAATGCAAGGATTATCAGTGTATGATTTTATCGTAATTTACTCTTTTCTCCGCGTACAGTTCATTGTCAATTGATTTTATCCAAACACATTTTCCTCGATATCACCTTATGCTAGAACTAATTTGCTGTTCTGTTCTCATGCTGTAATTCCTTCTGTGGGACTCTTGTGTGTTTTACATTGTAATTGGGCAATATATAAACAGCAGCACTAATCATACCAAACATTGGCAAGGGTTATTGTATTTCCCAGAGGAAATATGGTTTGCGAGATTGTTTTACACTGACTAATAGTTTCGCCCACAAAATGCACAGTCAATCCACTTTACGCCGTACTCCGTGAAGTGCTTCGAGACGTCTCGACAACGTTGCAAGGTGCTTTATCAAAAGTGAGGCTTATTATAATTATTTCTCGGTCTTTATCCTTGAGCCCTTCTTTTTAAAAACAGACTACCCCAGGCAGAAATCTAAATATTCCTCACAACAACAACTACGTGCATTTATATAGCGTCCTTCACACAGGGTAGCATCTCGGAGTGCTAACAAAGACTATTTGCGAGCCCACTGTGCAGCTGAAGCCCTTTCCAATATCCTCTCATGATCAACAGCCCTTGCAACACGTGTACGTAACTCACCTTTTTACACAATCATTTGAAAGCGAGGATCGCGTGGGCAGGCAAATTGGTCTCGAATAATCTTTGTTTAGTTGTCAATATATTCGTCGGCAGGTACGAGAGGGATTTTGTTTGTCTGTAATATGTTGCCAGGGTGACGCACACGTACTCAAACTAGCAAAGTCCCAGCGACCTGTCCGCCACAGAGAGATGATACAAATCCGAGTCGTTTTTGGCCGATTCGTGTACAAGTCTGACAATGCCACAACGAACTTGGTTTATGCTCTCTCTCTCTCTCTCTCTCTCTTTCCCTCGTTCTCTCCACATTCGCTGCCCCCTTTTTAATGTAACCAGGGCAGTTCCTAACAGCGCACTCGCTCTACTACCCGAACAGATACCGAGAAAGAGCACCTTTCTGTCTTTTTTTTGTGGGGACGCCGCTGGGCGCAATTGGCTGCCGCGTTTCGCCCGCAACGTACCCGGTCAATTCACTTCGCAGTAAATTCTGTGAAGCACTTGGAGACTTCTCACCGACGCGATGAGGTGCTGAGTCAAGTTAATTATGATTGCTGAACACATTTTTTTTTAAAACTATGATTTGGTCATTTCTCTGAACCATTTAGATTATATTTCTACCCCAACTAATGCCACTTCAGCAGATTTACTTTTCACCAACTAACCCATAAACTTTATAAACAGGTAAAAGTGCCGTATATAAACTTCCTCCCAAAGGTAGAGCACCACTTCCATTGATGCAACATCATCAAGGGGTGGGAGAGTCAATGGTGAAAGTTATTTAGACACATAATAATAATAATAATAATAATAATAATAATAATAATAATAATAATCCTTCTATTTGATACAGCGCCTTATCACGTCTTCGAGACGTCTCAAAGCGCTTCACAGAATACACTGTGAAGTGAATTGACTGTATATTTTGTGGGTGAAAATGTACGTTTCTTCGCCAAGAAACCCCAGAGCTATTGCTGTTACGTTTTAATCTAACGCGCAGCTGTAATGAAAGCAGCGTGTTCAGAAACCTTTTGGGAACTGAATCTAAAACTTTAATCAATGCCCCGTTTCGTTGTGAAATCAGTAGTTTTATAAATCATTGCACCGGTTGGGCCGAACAGTCTTTTGCCACAGTGGGGCGCCATAGAGGTTAATCAATCTCAAGGCGATAAGGGGTCCAAACTGCTCTCGCTTAAAGTGTCTTAAGTTTTAACAGCTCGTAATAAATAAACTGTATGTCTCTTTAACTCGGTCAAAGAGCCAGGTCTCTTTGTGGGGTGATGGGCGGGGGGGGGATAGAGCATAAACAGAAGAGGGGTAGGTATGCAGTTAATCGAACTTATAATAACATTAAAACTATCCGTACTTTAAGCCTTATAACAATTCACATTATAAGTATACGTGCATATGTGTATATAATATATATACACACACACTTCACATAATAATAATAATAATCCTTGCCGTTTGATATAGCGCCTTATCACGTTGTTCAGACGTCTCAAAGCGCTTCACAGAACATATCGTAAAGTGTACTTGGTGGGCGAAGCGTGGAAGCCAATTGCACACAGCAGTGTACCACAAACAGTCGTGGATTGAGTGACCAATTATTGCCCCCAGAAAGCGACCCGCCAATCGACTAACATCGAGTTTCTTACTTACTGCAAGGTAAACAGAGGCGTGTGTGTGCGTGTGTGTGTGTGTAGTAAGGAAACCTGCCTAAGGTTTCACCCTGCCCGGGAATTGAACCCGGTCCTCTGACTTCTAGGCGAGCCTGCTAGCCATTATGTTATGGGACTCAATTAAATCCTAGAGTTAAGCAAACAGTTTATTGCTGAGACCCCAGGAGCTTGTCCCGGTCTGTTCACCCAGCGCTAAAGGGCAACTCCATTACCCAATCTAGTTCCCATGGTCCCAAACTACAACAATCCACTCGCCAACAGAAAGTGTAACGCACAGCGTTAGCCTCATCTAACGCTGAGAAGTTGGCTGCGAAAACTCAAGAACTTCCACACCAGAACGGCTTGGGTTTACCTTACGAGGTTCGCTTAAAAGTAGCGACACATCTATGAAAAACATGGGAAATATTCGCAAATCAATCTCTAAGCCGGGAGTTGTTGCAGTTATTAGAGAATATATATATTATAATTCAGGCTCTAGATGAACGCTAATTTCTTGTTGCAATATGCTATAGTGATGTACAACAGCAACTTCGTTTATACAGTAAATAATAATAATACTTGCATTTGATATATCGCCTTATCGCGTCTTTGAGACGTCTCAAAACGCTTCACGGGATACACTGTAAAGGTAGAATTGACTGTGCATTGTGCGGGCAAAAAAGCGGCAGCCAATTGCACACAGCAACGTCCCGCAAACAGTTGTGGATTGAGTGACCAAATAATTTTTTATTTCTTTTTGTACTGAGTACAGTCCAGTCGAGTCCCCGCCAGCACACAGCAAGAATTCCCCTCCAGCAACAAAATGGTTAATTCGTTTCAGCTGCCCGGACAAGTATGGGTCTGTGCGTTTTATAGGTAAGGTATCAACACTCACTGCGGTTTGATTTGGGGTTAAATGAGCATATGGTGACTATTTAAAGCACGAGTACCTTCCAATTGTAAGGAGTCAGCGAGAGAAGCTTGCAACCATTGATATTTTTTTTACTGTGTTTAGGCAGTGGGTACCTACACACACAGCCAGGCAGAAAGAGAGACAGACGCGTACGTAGAGGGAGAGACAGAGAAAAACACACACACACACATACACAGAGGAGAGACAGAGAAAAACACACACACACACATACACAGAGGAGAGACAGAGAAAAACACACACACAAAACCACGACTGTCTGCGGGACTGGACGCTGCTGTGTGCAATTGGCTGCCGTGTTTCACCCACAAAAAATACAGTCAATTCACTTTACGGCATATTCTGTGAAGCGCTTTGAGACGTCTCGAAGACGTGATAAGGCGCTGTATCAAATGCGAGGATTATTATTACTATTAAACACAGATACACACATACTACAGAGGGGGAGACACAGAGAGAGACGTGCACACACACACACAAACACAGATACACACATATATAGGAGAGTCAGGGAAACATACAAATAGAGGGAGAAACAGAGAGAGAGAGAGAGAGAGAGAGACACATACAGACACACATAAACAGAGGGAGAGACATACACACGCACATAAATAAATAGACACACATCCACAGGGAGAGACAGAAAGACACGCATAAACAGAGAAAAAATCACTTGGACAAAGAGTGAGAGACAGAGAGAGAGAGAGAGAGGGAGTGAGACTTGCACACAAAGACACAGAGTGAGAGAAACACAGGTATATAGCAAGAGAAAGAGAGACATAAACTGACAGAGAGACGGAGAGACACACACATACATAGACAGAGAGAGACACACACAAAGACACAGACAGAGAGAGAGACACACACATACACAGAGACAGAGAGAGAGAGAGATACACACACACAGAGAGAGATACACATAATCACAGAGAGACAGAGACACACACACAGACACAGAGAGACACGCACATCAGAGAGTGACACAGACAGAGAGACAGACACACACACACACACACACCCACACACACAGAAACACAGTCAAACACACACACAGACGCACAGGGTAAATTTTATCTGTGTGAGAATCAGAGCGATTCTCTGCGGTCGAGAGAAAAGGAAGAAATCTCGACATCTCTGGGCATCCGCCACTCACTCACACTCACACACACACACACACACACACACACACACCCGACCCCCCCACACACACTCGCACACACTCACTCACACACTCAAACACGCACACACAACCCCCAGACACACACACACTCATTCCTTACCACAGATTCAACTCCAAAAAACCTTATTAGAGAATGACACAGATGGAACAGCCGTGTGGATTGGACAATGTTTTTTTTTGAAGACCTATTTTAACCTATTTTACCCCCCAAAAAATACATAGCTAAAGACCCATCTGCAGGTTCAGTGGTTAAAGATTACAATTCAAACTTGTATAGAATAGATTTTCCACTTTATAGAGAAATTTGCTCTTCTCTCCCTCCCCTTAAATGACTGTGGGTTTCTCCCACAAAATATACAGTCAATTCACTTTACAGTATATTCTGCGAAGCTTTGAGGCGTCTTTAAGACGTGATAAGACTCTAAATCCAACGCAAGTATTATTATTAGTAGTATTATTATGTAAAGGACCCTCGACAAAGATTTACCGTTAACACCTTCAGCTTTTTGGTAACTTATTCCTGCTTTTTGCTTATCAGTTGGGATGTCGGACACACAAGAATTAACCCCCTTTTCTCTCTCCTTGAAAGTAGGAGAAGCAAATCAACTCCCCCTCCTATAAAATGCTAAATAATATAATTTTTTTTTTAAAAATTGGATGGTTTATACCCCACACATCCCCACAACGCCCATCAAAAAAGATTTATTTCTACTGGTATTACACCGTTCAGCTTGTGAAAAAAATCCCTTTCCCCCCCCCACCCCCAAAAAAATAACAGTAACGCGGTTTTATTTATATTCCGCTAGATTGCGCTTTGCGATGTGCGTTCGTTAGAATTTTCGTCTCTCCCTTGAACGCCCGCGCACACAACGTTGCTGAGATTCAACCGCAAAGATTCAACACGTCTTCGACTTAACACACAAGATTTTAGCCCAACTTTACAGCCACCAAAACTACCCAAGTCCCAACCAACTTAACCAATGAACTCTGCAACTCAACAAACCAAGGAGGTGAGACTCAATGAGGGTCCAGTTTACCTCTGGGTATATTCCAGCCTTGATCGCTCTCAAAAAAAAACATCCCAAACTGGGTGTAAAAACCCAATTCCCACTTAAAGTGAACCCACGTTGTAAGAGTTAAGACACACTCCTTACCTGATTCCCACGCTTATTGCTCCACCAAGAGATCTGTCAGAGGCGCCTTGTCTCCTTCAGTTGCCTTTATTATTATTATTATTATTTTTGTGTGTGTGGAGAGGTCACATAGATTTTTTTTCTCCCCTTCTTGTTCCCCACTTGGATTTTAAAGGGCTGGAAAATTAACAGTGATAACAGATTCCTATTACCCTGATCCACTCACTCTCTGTTGTCATTCACAAAGCTCTCTCTCTCTCTATCTCTCTCTATCTCTCTGTCTTCCACACTCACACTCTCTCCCTCTCTGTTCTGAGAGAGAGAGCTGGGTGGAGAAGCAATATAACTAAGAGACACTTGAATCTTCTGACGAGGGGTTGTGAATGCAACAAGCAATGGTTAGTTAATGCGTCTCTTCCTCCCTCCCTCCCTTCCTCCCTCCTTCTCTCTCTCTCCCTCTTCCATCCCTCCTGTCATCACTAAACGAATTCAAGGGAGGCTACTTTTTTTTCACACACACACACACAAGGCTGATATAAATATAATAATAATAATAATAATAATAATATTATTATTATTATTATAAATATATATAGATAGATAGATATACAGTATATGGAAACCCATTTGATATGGATCATTGCAAATTCAACAACTGCTATAAATATAATGATTAATCGATATTGAATCTTCGACGACTATTGATTGTTGCCACATTTAAATGGCAGTGTTGCATTTTTCTGTGCAATACAATCTTTAGCACCTTTTTTTAATATGAAAAATACCCCCATGTATACATATAATATATATATTTATTGTCATACGTGACCTAACACTGGACCATGCAATTCCCTGTTGATTCCAACCTATTTTTTTTGTTGCAGAGGAAAAGAAAAAGAAGATCCCCTGTAATTCTACTTTTCCTTTTTTTTAAAAAATAAATCCAAAGTCAATACAGTTCTTGCAACTTGCTTTTTGACCCGTGAGAAATAAATCCTAAATTTACTTACTGGTTCCTAAGCATTTTCTCTCTCTCTCTCTCTCTCTCTGGAAGAAAAGAATGATATTAAGAGCCTTCTGCTAAAAATATAACTGCTTGTTTTTTTTTTGGTGGTGGGGAAGAGGAGGAGGAAGAGTTAAAAAATGAGATTATTTTTACAAAAATATATATATTTTTCAGAAGCTTATTAATAACGCGCCATACGTTACAATATTACGAATGGATGCAATCTTTTTTTTGAGTGAAATTGACATTTGGTCAATTTCGGTCAATTGACTTTTGTTTGTCCAATATCTGGTTCGAAATTGATCGGAGATTGTCGATTTCATTCATGTTTTAGCAAAAAAATTGTATTTATTGCAAATGGACCTAACCTCACATCCTTACCCCTTCTTGGAGTAACAAAGCGACTTGAATTCAGCAAAGTATGAAACCCCCCTCCCCCCCAAAAAAAAAGTCTTAACACAAAAACAAAATGAGGTGTCCAAATGTCTTTGCTCTCTTCATAGTGGCTTTCCCTTAATCTCTAAATAACTTGCAAACCAACCTTTTAATGAATGGGTCTCAAAACGATCCATCCGTTGTCTGGAGAGTTTTTTTTAAAAGGTATTTATAATCTTAATGACATATAAGTACATATTTTTTTCGCTTTATTTTTAAATTGAGATCGCCAGAGTTAACTTTTAAAGACAATTATTTTGCTGGGGGTTGTGTGTGTTTGGGGAATGGAAGTCACTTTGGAAGCAAAAAGGACATTTATTTTGTTTGTTCCCTTTTCTGGTTCCAGTTTGACATCACCCCCACCCCCCACCCCACTGTGACACAGCTTTTTTTTTATGATAGAAAAAGATTAGACATTAAGTAAAGGCAAGAAGGCAAACAAATGAAATAACTTGCAAATAAAGGCGTGTTTGCAATGCATTCCATTTGTGTTAATCGTCCATCGTTCAGGCTCCACCGGCTCCCCATCCCCCAGAGGATAGAGTTCAAAACCCTCGTCCTTGCCTTCAAGGCCCTCCACGGTCTTGCTCCTTTCTACCTCTACAACCTGCTGACCCCATATCAACCTGTCCGCTCCCTCCGCTCATCAGGTTGCGGCCGGCTCCACATCCGCTGCCCTACTCGCCCAACCATCGGCGGTCAGGCCTTCAGCCTTTTTGCCCCCACTCTTTGAAGCTCCATCCCACATTCCCTTCGCCTCTCTGCCTCCCGCGGCTCCTTCAAGGCAAGTCTCAAAACCCTCCTCTTCGATCGCGCCTTCGGCCACCCTCCCACCCTCCCTGCCCTCCACCCTCCCGATCCCGACCCCCAGCTCGGGTCCAAATCCCTGACTGTCCAGCGCCTTGGGACGTCCTCCCAACGTGAAAGGCGCTATGCAAATGTAATATTGTATTGTATCCCTGGAACGAATCCATAAATGTCACATAAACACACACACACACACACACGCACGGATACACACATACACTAAACATTAACATCTGGTTCAAATACCGTTTACATTTCTGAGTCATTCTGTGTTGGCCATTAACATTAGCTATAATACCATTATTCGCCCACAAATATACAGTCAATTCACTTTACAGTCTATTCTGTGAAGCGCTTTGAGACGTCGAGAAGACGTGAAAAGCGCTAAATCAAATGCAAGGATTATTATTATTGTTATTATAATATAAGAGCTATGGGACACTACACTGCATGAAGGGCGTTATATAAATGCAGTTTGTTGATGTTGTATAATATTATTTTTGATAGCATTATGAAAATAGTTGATATTATTATGACTGATCATTGTCAATTTTTAGGTCCCTATCTGCTCCTCATTAAACTCATTAAGTTTGTTTAATAAGATGTACTATTGTGGATAAGTAAAATACTCTACCACAAAGTGTGATAGCCTCCCACTTAACATTGCACTGAAGACCCATTAGTAATAATAATACTATTCCTTGCATTTGATACAGCGCCTTATCATGTCATCGAGATGTCTCAAAGTGCTTCACAGTTTATACCATAAAGTGAATTGACTGTGTATTTTGCGGGCGGATTGTGGCAGCCAATTTCGCACAGCGGCGTCCCACAAACAGTCGTGGAATGGGTGCTGTATAAATGCAAGTTGTTGTTGCTGTTGCCCAAATTATTATTATTTGATTTATTTTTGAGGAATCTGCCAATCGACTAACAACCGGGTTCTTTCTTACTGCTCGGCGCATGGAGTAAGAAAACTTGCTTAAGGTTTCGCCCTACTCGGGAATCGAATCCGGGCCCTCTCGCTTGCGAGGCGAGTGCTGTAAACAATTCACTAATGGTAATTTTTTGTTTTGATTGTTTGGAGATAACGCATATTTTGCTAGTGTGAGTCCTGCTGGACATGAATAAGGCGTAACCTAACATAGTCAACAAACTAAACTAAACTAAACATGTCCATCCAAGTTCCCGGAAACAGTGGTTTCCTTCTGTCTCTATCCTCAATACTTAATAACCTGGGCTATTACAGGTTAATAGCTTTGAGCAGATGGTGCCTTTCATGGAATCAGCCATCCACCAAACTGGTTTCAAAGGAAGTATAGTCTTGGTTAAGGCTCGCCTCCTTCATAGTGCTGGTGGGGGTGGGCGTAGTGTTGCATTGTTGGAGGTGCCATCCTTCAGGTGAGACATTAAACCAAGCTCCCTGTGTGTCCCTCCTGTTCAGGGGGACGTTAAAGGTCCTGGTGTCCCAGATTAAAATTGGATAGTCACTCGCTAGCTGTTTGTGGGACGTTGCTGTGCGTAATTGGGCTGCTGTGTGCCCCTGCAAATACACAGTCACTCCATTTCATAGTAACTCCTGTGAAGCACTTTGAGACATCTTTCCGACGTGATAGGGCGCCGTACCAAATGCAAAGATTATTGCTTATTGTTAAGACAAATAAGACGCTTTTTCACCCATAGCTTCCTTGAGGATCTCCTTGAGGAGATGGTAGATAGAAGTCAGGGTAGATAGAGTGAGAAAGAAGAAGAACAACAACACATTACATTTACACGGAGCCTTTCACGTCAGGAGGACGTCCCAAGGCGTTGGACAGTTCAGGGATCCACACTCGAGCTGGTGGTTGGGATCAGGAGGTGTGGGGGGGCGGGGAGGGGAGGGGTAGGAGGGTGATTGAAGGTGCGGTTGAAGAGGATGGTCTTGAGACGAGCCTTGAAGGAGGCAGGAACAATGAAGAGCTGTGGTCGGGGAGGCAGGTCAGTGTAAAGTGGAAGAAGATGGAAGCGAGGAACAGATCACAGCTTTCCCTTTTACACAACATATTTTTTTTCTCTGGAAACACGAGGCAGCTGTTGGATAGGGTTTGCCATGATGCCTCTTTACCACCTCCCAATGGTACCATCTGCTAACGGCAGACGGGCAATATGTTCGAGGAGATTCCCCAAATTGCCATTGAACATCGAAACACAAATGTGCCCGATGGCAAAGTTTTGTTTCGGTAACCGGCACGGAAGGGAACTTCTGCTCCTCCAGATAAAACCGAATGAAAATGCTACCAAAATGTTGCAAGCCTCCCTTTATGGCGGTCCAGGAGTCCTGTTCCTGAGCCAGGCGTGTCTGCAATACTCCGGGGCCACTGCTACTGACAGCACAGCACAGCACAGCCCAGCCTGGCTCATCGGCAGGACTTGGAAGGGCAGACCAGTCAGTTGGGACAGGAAATCATCCCACTCAGCTCCTGTTAACCCTGCAAGACAAAGCCCTAACGGGTAGGATGGTCCCAGCTGGACATGCAGCGGGAAAGCTGGCCAGACAGCGCTCTCAATGGCAAGCGACGCGGTTTTAACTGCTTAGACTCCCCAAAGCACTCTCTGGGGTCTCCCTAAGCCTTGGCTCTTGCCGTCCTTCGCCTAATACTTTCCGGGATTAGGTAGGCAGGATGCGTCCCTCCAGGAAGCGAGTGTCCATTCCATTCCAACAATCTATTTGTGGAATTTCCGTGTGCGGGTGAGGTGTGTGGAATTTGATTTGGAGACTCTTTAAGCCCGGTGATTAAGCGGCATGTGTTAGACTCTCAGCTGACAAAAAAAAAGAACAACGGGGGAAGGAGGGGAGGAAATAAACTAATGATTTAATAAAAAAATCAGCATTTTCACCATTAATAGCTAATTAATTTGCTCCCGAGGGACTGGTTTGATGAGGCCATAGTAAATTAGCAGGTCTAAAGGTGCTTTGACCCAGTGGTTAGCGGGTCTAAAGGGTTTATAGCAAGTGTTCCCTATAGACCTATTGAGCAGTAATCAAGACGTGTGCTCCTGTGCAATAGCCTGTGTTTTGTTACAAAAAGAATTTTGCAGGATTGAAATCGGGAAACATTTTTTCACGCAAAGAATAGTGGAAATCTGGAACTCTCTCTCTCCCCGCCAACCCCACCCCACCCCCCAAAAGGCTGTGGTTGCTGGATCCATACAAATTTTCAAGACTGAAGTTGATGGGAATTAATTGGAGGTGAGGTACAGATCAGCCACACCATGGTCTAATAGAATGGAGGAACAGGCTCGAGGGGCTGAATGGCCTACGCCTGTTCCCGTGTTCCTTTGAATTGCAAATTATTTCAAACAAAAATGGAAACTGTAGCAGGTGCTTTCTTGGTTAGAAGCTTAAAGCAATATCTGTTTCCCTGATGCGATCGTCTTGTTTTATGTAGTGCGGGGGGATAGTTGCTTAATAACAGATGCGTGCTATTAAGCGCTTTGAGACGCCTCGAAGACGTGATAACCTCATTACCTCTCTAATCTTGCCTTCAAAAGCCTTCTGAAAACGTGCATCTCTTTGATTCTCTGCCTTTGGTCAACATCGTTGAATCCCTTACTTACCACGTCACGTTCAGAGGTGCACTGATCAAAAAATAATAAAAACACTGTACTAATCCTTACGTTTC